AATACCTTCCTACGGAGACGGCTCCGGTGGTTCTCGGTGGCTTACGCTTGAGTTGATGAATGATGGGTTCAGAGTTTAGGGTTATGAAAGTTTCATCCATGGTTAAAGTTTGGAGCTTTTGATGGTGATGAAAATGGGGGTCTTTAGGGTATATTAGGGTTTTGGGGTAGCACCTGAAGGTTTATGGATTACGTGATGGGGGGTGACTCGGTATTTATAGAAAGTAGAGGGTAAGTACCAAATGGATATTACAAAATGGCTGAAATAAATATTTTATTTTTTTTGTTACGATAACTTTTCGTCTTTTTGACTTTTGGACGCACAAGCATGAGCACTTTTTACGAAAAACATCATTTTACATCGTGAATTTGGATTTTTATTCAAATAATTATACTATTTTGATGTTAACCTGTCAACTCTCCTTTCTCATTGCCAGAGTTTGGAGGCATCTTGACGATGAAATTAATTAACCATGGGAAAACAATCAAAAGGATAGTCAAAATTTGCATAAAAATGGAAATAATACATTTTGTTCCTTGTACATTTCCTATTTTTTCACTTTATATTTCGTATATGTATAGTTTAACAATCTAATTAATATTGGGGATTTTTTTTCAGTAGTAAAATAATAGAACATATAATTTATTTTTTGTAAAATATCTTTTCAAATTTGAAATGTCGTTACCATTTTTTTTTTGTTAAACTGTTGATCGTAAATGGTAACAACATTCAAATACATATTTGCGTTGCACTTGACATCACTGGAACATTAAAAAGAAATCAACATTATATATATATTTTAAAATAATTTTATGGTAACGGTATTTATATTTGAAGATGTTGTTGTATCTGCACATGAAAGAAAATAAACTTTTATTCAACTTTTAGGCGTTATACGCTATATAACCCTTTTGTGAATATTTAATTATTATTATTATAATAATATTTCGTGTTGACAATAAACATTTTACGGGGCTTGAGAAATGTGAAATTATCATTCTGAATAAATGGCAGTGGCGGCGATCAGAACTTGTTCCTTCTACATGGGGTTGTGTTTTGTCTTTTCTTTTTACGAGATTATGGTCGATTTGCTGAATTAGGGTTTTGCCTTTTTTTTGTTCTTCTTGGTCCGAAATTAACCATCACGTGGATTTGTCTCAAGACTAGGGCTTTCTTTTTTCTTTATTTGTGTGCTGTATGCGTAGCCCTGGGACTTTGTTTGTTGATTGTGACTCAGCCCCTCGTTAATGGAATTTAATTCATTTTTACATGAAACTCAGCCAATAGTTTCTAGAATTTGGTGCAAATATTAATTTGGCTGTTCGTTCGGTTAAATTTATCAAAGTTTGTCGGTCGATCTTCCCTTGGGTTGTTCACTTGATACCATATATTATTAGGGTTGTGTGATTTATATTAAATATACCGATTTAGACCCATATAGTTTAGTTTGATTCATTCTCATCGTTAAATAAATGGATAACCAAAAAAAAATTAATATAACCATTCTTGAACTCAAATCTAGAATTCAATAGATCTATTAGTGTGCACTAAACAAACGAGATCCAACAATGATATATCGGAGAACTAGTGACATCTTTTGAGGATGGACCAAATTAAACATTATCTCGTATATGAACATCCACACCCGTATATGTATGTATGCATGTATGTATGTATGTATGTATGTATGTATGTATGTATGTATGTATGTATGTATGTATGTATGTATGTATGTATGTATGTATGTATGTATAGTGTATGTATAGTGTATGTATATATGCAAATTCGATGACATGAAGAAAAAAAACAAGAGGCATGCATGTAAGAATCCGGCAAACCTAGGAGAGTAGGGTACGATGGAGAGGACACGTTAATGGCCCTTCTTCCAGAATTGTCGTCGTCCTCAGTACGCGCGTGGTTTCCTCTCTCTGCACACTGAATTTATTTATTTATTTTTTAATTATTATTTTCCTCTCTCTGTTAATTCTCATCTCAAAATATCTGACATTCAGTTTTTATTTTCTTTTTATTTCTCTTCCCGTAATCTGTAATGCATACATGAGACATGCATGTAATAGCGATAGATGTAATAATGGTTACTGGAGAATCTAATCGAGGGTTTCTCTTGAAAATATGATACGAATCCGCGGGTTTATATTAATTTTTTTAAAAAAATAACATCTAATATGAGTGATGATGGCTCATTTAGATATATGTGTTGAAATATAAAAATGAATATGTGATTGAAGAAATATTGATTTTAAGATATGATTAGAAATAATAATGGATACAATATTATATCAAATATTGTATATCGATCCTATTTATTTCTATTTTCTTTTTATTTTCAGCATTTATTTTTTCTATATGGTATCAGAGCCTACATCTTTTTTTCCAATCTCTTCTTTCTTTTATGTTTTGAATGTTCATATATCCAAATCGTTCAAAGATGAATAAAAATTCAAATTCAAATGTTGTGCTATGACAAAAAGAAGTCAAAACTAAAAACTCTAAGATCAAATAAGATGCTATGACAAAAAGAGTTAAAACTAACTAGAACCTTAAAGTCAAGCGAAGTTATTTGAAAATGAGAAATACTCTTTAAAAGAACTAAATTTGGTGTTTATGAATTTTTTCAAAAACAACGAAAATGTCTATGGTTTTTTTTTTGTATAGCATTATCTCTTCAAAATTGACTTTTTCATTCTTCCAACTTGAGGGAGAATGTTGAAATAGAAAAATGAATATGTGATTGAAGAAAATATTAAATTTAAGATATGATTAAAAATAATAATGGACACAATATTATATCAAATATTGTGTATCGATATTATTTATTTCTATTTATTTTTTTATTTTGTTTGCTAGTTTTCCTATAAATATATGAATCATTTTCATTGTAATCCAACAAGAAGAAGAGATGTAACAATAAAAGTAATTTCCTTTCTTTTTATATTTATCTTATTTATTTTTTCAACAATATGTATGATGCATGGTTAATACAGATTTCGAAAAAATGATAAAAGTTTATGAATATTTAAATATAATATCGATCTCAACGTGTATCTACACCATTTCTATATATTCAATTACCATGAGGGGGGCTCGGGTGTGGATGACGTGAATTTATAGTGTAATTAAATTTTTTTAAAAGGATTGATTTGGTTATATACGTAAGCATATTCGTTCGTGCATGCATGCATGGATGTGCGTTTTTCTACGGATATAATCTGTAGTTGGATGTAAAAAGTTAAATTCTCCTCGGGTGAAAACCGTATAAGTTAGATTATATGGATGGTCCCCTGACTTAAACTTATCCCAATAAATATTGAAACCTAAACCTATCTGTTCTAAGACTGTTTTATAATTTCATTTTGGTACGTGCCATTATTCCCTGCATGATAAATCCATCTAATTACATAAATGTTTGTGTAGGTACACGCACAAACATGTGTGTGTATATATATATATATATACGTGCATGTCTTTGTGGTGTAGTGACTGTACGTAGTCCATGCATGGACCAACAACTTTTAAATAAAGCCTCAATAATATTCTGGAAATGATGACTATTGAGTCTCATGGACTTTTTGTTAGGGCTACTGATATTTATGCGACATAATTTAACTAATTAATCATATAATTGTGGAAGATCGCCTTTTTTCCTCTTTTTTTTTTTTTTTGATAACCGAGAGATTCACCTGGGCCTTCGGCCCAACCTACATCCCTTCGGGCTCGGGAGCAGCCTTTAGAGGCCCGGTGACAGGAGTCCAGAGAGCAACACCCTCCCAACCGAGAAAACACCCCCTCCCTCCCCAGCAGCTGGATTCGAACTGGTGACCGGGACCCCAAGAGCAACACCCTTTCAACCACTCGCCCACTACTTACTGGGATTATGAACACATATGTTTCCTTTTAAGATTTCTGAATATTTTAAAACGGGATCTAGACATGTGAATACTTTAATAAGAAAAAGGGTCACTTTGTTTAATTCTTTTCGAAACGATTCGATCTTTAACTTTAACTTTTAACTAATTAAAAAATCAATAAAAATCGGTAAAATAAAATTACCATATAGATCATCATTATTGGTTGTATATATACATAAACAACGAAGTACAATCTTGTATTGTATAACGGTCTCAGATATTGGGATTCAAATATATCACACACAAATAAACAGATTTGGACTTTTTTTAAAAAAAATTAGTCAAATAAAAAAATGCTTTAGAGGAGGGAATTCTGTATACAAATAGCTAGCTACCTCTTAATTAGCATTATTCAGCCATTTTAATTATCATTTAAATTGGTGTTTCACAGCGTTTAAAACTAGCAAATTGGCACCTCATTTACAAAGCTACCTTTTATTATATGAAGCATTTTAAAAATAATAATAATAATAATTACTGATATTTATGAGGGTAACTGTTGAACTGAGAGTTGCAACAGACCTCTTCTGAACAAGTTGTCCCCTATGTTTTACAAAAGTGCATACATACATACATACATACATACATATATATATATATATATATATATATACATACGTGTGTGTGTGTGTATATGTGTGTGTTATATGATGTGTAACATTATCAAGGCAAATTAATTCCTTCGCAGTAAAAGCTTACGAGCTTTGGAATAGCTCAGCTTTATCTTCTTTTTTTTTGGCAATAAAGGCATCCACATGGCTAAATCAAGGACTCAACTTATTGCTAATCCCTTATTTGCTCTACGGTCCGTCTCTATATACTTTATTAATTAAAATTAGTGAAATGGCATATATTTTAAAAAATTTTAGTTAGATAATTTCTGTTTTGTAATTTTAAAAGTAGACTTTGTATTTATGGAATAGAATATCTTTTTTCTTATATATATAACGATGAAATTTTTAGATTTTTGGACGAATGTTAGTCTTTGATAGTATTTATACAATATAATTTTACTTCACTGTATTATTCGCCCAATTAATGTCTACTCATATGAAAAATATTTTTAAAAAT